TGTTCCAATTCATTGTTGTCGATGGCTGTGGCACGATGTCCATGCGATTCGTCTTTAAAGGATTCATTACCATCTCGGAATTGGGCAAACCAGAGCTGGCATGATCTTTCGGTGATAACCTGTTCTCCAAAGGCGGAACAGAGATCACGATGTAAATCAGCAGCGTTTTTGCCCATTTTGAAGTCATAGAGAAGACACGTGCGCAGAACATACTTTTGATCCACCATGATCTAAAGCAAAAATCAATTAAAAAGTGAAAGCTCTGACTTTGAAAAAATGCGAAAATAAAGTAAATATCCAAGAGTACAAATGCACAAAAGAACATCAAATAAGCTCTTCAGATTAAAAAAATAAGAACATTTTATATCGACCGAAATTTCTTTTGCACCAACCTAATAAAACAAATAATAATTTAGTTTTATGGCTTTGCTCTACTACAAATATTAAAAGCAAAAACCCACATTAAAGCCTGAAGCAGCAGTGGCAACAAAGCAGCTGATTGTTTCCATCTTGCTCGTCATGTTTCCGATGTTCGTGAAGGCGATTTCGAAGGCGGTAGTACATTCTTATTCTTGTTGGCGACCACTTTGCGACTTGCGCCAATGCTCATGAATTCAGTATGCCGATTACTACAATCGGCACACTGGAATCATGAGCATTGGCGCAATTCGCATAGTTCTTCTTTTGTCTTTTGTCGAAGTTTTTCTTGTTCGCCATTTGAAAGAATAATCGGATGAATAAGAATAAGAATGAAATAATTTTGTGCATCTTGTTTTAATTGACGATTAAATGTACGTTAATTTACACAAATTTACATGAAATTAGCATATTTCTGTCTGTCTGTCTGTCTGTCTGTCTGTCAAGAGAATTTGCATTCAACCCCCAAATCAAACTAAGGCACAATCGGGAATTTATTTTTTTCGTCGACTCGTTCTGCGAAAATGGGCGCGAGTTTTTACATTTTCAAGCTTTATATTTTGTTTCCATTGTTTAGTCGACGAGCATTCATTTACAGTCAGCAAAAAAAGTCTTGCACCATTGTCATTCAAGCATTCAAGATCATTCAAGCAAAAAGGAGCTGCTACAAAGTATTAAACTTATTGAATTTGTTTGATGGTGCAAGTTGATGTTGCTGTTGATTTGCTGCATGTTGATTTGCTTCCTTTTTTTGTTGGTCGTTAACTCTTTTGTTATTCTTTCTATTTTACTGTTACGAATAAATTTTTTACTTGTTCATTCGGAAACTAGACCACAATGGTAGAATCGCTGAGGCTATTGCTCGTTGTTCTTCATGACATTTCATGCACACTGCTTGAGTATCAGAACAAATTAGTTGCCAACAAGTTTTCTCGGAAACGCTTATTTTTGCGAAAAATTTTTTGTTTTGAGCCTTTGGGAGACAATGGTGCAAGACTTTTTTGATGACTGTAACTTTCAAAAAATCGTTGTTTAAACAAAATCTGTCGTTTTTAGGAGATTCCTAGTCGTAAGAAGAAGAGAACATCTTCACAAGCACCGCCACCGCCCAAGGTTTGTTGCTTTTTTTGAAATGAAAGTAGAGACTCGGGGTGTTAAAATGGCGTAAACATTAACGTAATGACGTAAACATTAACGTAATGACGTAAACATCAACGTAATGACGTAAACATTAACGTAATGACGTAAACATTAACGTAATGACGTAAACACTATTCACGTTTCCTATAAATTGTTGTCTTTTTAAGGATATCAACCGCCACCTCAAGTTGTCTACGTTCAATCACCGCCGTTCAATCGCGAGTCAAATTCGGTTGACTTCAAATGCTTTAATTTTTGCTAAAATCAATTCAGAAACCAAGGCGAAAATACAGATTTCCACTACTGTATGTCTTTTCATTGAAATCCAAGAAAATCTTTATGTTTCAATGGAATACGACTGAGCTCGAAAAACATTAAATAAATCACAGCCGAGCAATTAAACAATTTTACGGTTTTGGCGCCTGTTGATTGACGAGCTGAATGAGGCTTTCGATTGTTCCCTTTGTTAACCAAACAGCTTTCACATCTTTGTTTTGATTGATCGAGTACGCTTCCAACCCACTCTTTGCATAATCTGATAGATTCAACGCTAACACATTGATTTTGCCTACACCCGAAGGCAAGCCAATGATTTTTCGATGCCCAACTTCTGCACCTTCTAGAATAAACCAAAAACTGTCTATAGCCGAGTGCCGGAGAAGTTCTTTCGATCCCTGAAGACGTTTCGAGACATTCCTATGACAAGCACTATAGGCTTTCAGTTGTTGCTGTGTTCGAGCCGAATAGATGATCCATGGCCAGTCCAACGGTTGAACGTTCCACCGAAAGATGTAACTCGAGTAGCCGAGGCTCGTCGGGTGTGGCTCGAAAAGCCGTGGAATCTCGTTCTCGCTCCAAACCTGTCGTTTAGCCAATTACTATCAAAATTGGCAAATCGCAGATAGTTGAAACCGATACCCACAATTCGCCTTAATATTTGCCCATTCATTCGAAACATTTTCGCACTAAATTCTCCTTCTAAAAACGCCTTTTCTGAGAAGTCAATTTTCAGGAAAAGTTTTTCTTCTTTCGATAACAAGATCCAAGAGTCTGCTATGTTTTTCTCGTTCCAATAAACGGCCAAACTCAAAGAAATCTCCTCAGGTTCAGGTGTATCGAGACATGAATTGGAAAACATTTGCACAACATTCATTCGCAAAGCTTTCAATGTGGCAAACGCGTGTAAAAGTGTCTGCTGATCGAAATTCGCTCTCGTGTCAATGATTTTGTGTAGCTCTGTTGAGTCTCTGAGAAAAAGATCAGTGATTCTTTCGTGTAAAAGGTTGGACAACGCTTGAATGAGCCAAGCTTGTCGAGCCAGGAACATTGAAATCTTTATGATCTCATTTTCGTGCAATTCTTCCATGAGCTCGAAAAGTTTGCTTTCCTTGCTGTGTTGGGCAATCGGGGGCTCGTCGATTAAAAAAACGTAATCCTTCAGTAAATTGTTGGTATTCTTGAGGTTCTCTGCTAATTCGGTGTACAATTTGTCGTTGTTGATCGATCGCCGAAAGTGGGTTGTTGTGCCGAGATGTTCGGCAGTCTCAAGAAGCTTTCGCATGGGCAAGTCCTCAAATCCTTTACTCTTAGGCTGATCTTTTATAAGTGCCAGTTTTGCCTTGTAATAGGTTCCGATGGTTTCCATCTGCTCTTCGTAAATCTCGCGAACTCCTTTCTTGGCGATCCGCTCAATAATCAAATGCCGAAAAAGTATTTGTAGTGTGAAAATCATCGTTTTGCTTGGTGAAAGTGGAGAGCTTGATGAATACGACGTGATCAAGATGATTTCCAAACTTAAAGTCAAGAAGCCAATCATCGCCTGGTGCATCGGAACTTGCGCTAAGTACAGCAAAAAAGAGGTCAGCTCTATCTGCCCCCTTGTTTATAGTAGATTTTTTTAAAAATTTCATTTGGCCATGCTGGATCAGGAGCGACTTCACAACGTGAAACAACCATTGCGAAGAATGAGGCATCTAACAAGGCCGAATTTAAAGTACCAAAAGCTTTTAACGGATTGGGTATGTTTTTGCATCAAGACTTATTGATTTTCTTGTTTAGGCCAATTGATCTATAAAGCCTATCAAGATAAGCTGATGACCGGCCGACTACAACTCCGAGAAGTAACGCTATTTCAATTAGTGACTCTTAAATCTTGGAAAACTTACTTGATCTTAATCAGAAATAATTCCTAGTTCTCTCAAATTGTGTAGATGTATCTTTTTGCAGTGGTTTACAGTAGATTTTTAATTCTTTGAGGCTGCCTTAAAGAAAACTGGTTGATTTATTCATAATCGTCATCTGCATATCAATTTTCAGATCGCAAATCCTCGTCCAGTGCCCGTGTTGACCGCTCTCCCGCCACCGATGCATCAACAAATGTCCAACGTTACGGTAATTTGTTGCCTAAGCGTACCTTTTAGAAAATGCTTCAATTTTGATGAGGCTAAACATTTAAGAACTCAATTTTAAGGCATTCAACAGCTACCCCAGCCTCCACTCATCATCGCTTACTTATTGAAAAGTGGCAAAAAAGTCGAGTTTTCATTATTTTTCAATTTGCGCTGGTTGATGTGAAAAGTATTTATCTCAAAAATTCACCTATCCTCCCCTTTAATTTGATACCCAAGCGCGTGGAACCAAACGTACTGGTGTCGAGATATGAGCGCTTTTGATTGAAGCAGTGGCAACTTTCTTTTTCGTTAAACGATTTAGAAGATTTACACTCCATTTTGTTGCACTCATCGAGAGCAACAAAATGGTACTAAAATCATTTCAACAGGTCAAAAACTAAAAAAGTGGGCTTTTTTCCAACTTTCCTAGTTTTTGACCTATTGAAATGGTATGTTAATCTTCTAAATCGGTTAACTACAAAGAAAGTTATAAGAGTTGCCGCAATGCCTCTTTGCTGAAATTGGGCCCTCCAAATTTCTATTTCCCATTAGGTTATTCAATTAATTGATAGAATCTTGTTTTTGTCATGTAAAAAAGGAATTGTTTTTCTGTCCGTCACACGTGGTTTACTCGGCATCTAGTTTAAATTTCAGGGTGCGCTGTTTTTGTTAGGTTGGTAATATCATGCTGACGCGTTCAAAAAATTAAAAAATTCATCGTCTACTTTTTTAAAAGTTAAAAAGCCGCTAAACCACGGCCCTTTTTTGCCTCGGCGGTCTAGGGGAGGGAGTGGTTAGCGTTCCGTCGCCAAAATGATCGGCCCAAGAGGATACCGGGTTCGATTCCCGTCCGCTCCAAACTTTTTTTTGCCTGAAATGTTTCCAGGCATGGGGTTGAAGTATGCAAATTTGAGTTATCGTTAGGCGGGTTTTTCGGCTGTTTGAACTCATATTTTTTTGCGACTAATTTAATTTTTTTGTGCTTTTAACTTTGCATTTAAATCAATTTAATTACAAAATTACAGCATCCTTTATCGAGTGAACAGCTTCTAAATGTTTCATGAATCTCGACAAGAACCTCAACAACGCAAGAGGCGTCATTCGCTTGATTGGTTTGTTGATTTTCACTGAATATTTATTTCTTTTTCATCTAGGATTTCATCGGGACATTCGAGATCACCCGACTCAACAATAGTTGATGTGGAAATTGGAACTGCACACAAACAGGTTAGTTGAATTAGTTACTATTTTAAGTTTAAGATTAACTGGTACTAAGGCAGTTTAGGGGTCATCTAACATTTTCTCAAATGTAGTTTTCCTAGGGTAATTTATGGCGCTGATCACGAAAAAAAAGCATTTTTAGGTTATGCTTTCAATTAAAAAGCATTTTCCCAAATATTAATAACCGGTTACTTCCATTTACTAAATCTGTGTCGCATTCGCGCCGTCTGCTAGAAGCCGGAAGGTAGCGGGCTTTGTGTGTTTATGGAGCCTATCGACCATCCGGCTTTGGCGACCGTCGCGCTCCGGGATGTTGCAGCCAGGTCACACGGACACCTTCTGCGCAGTAGAGGTGCTGAAGTCGAGGTAAATATATGGCGCCTAAGTAAAAACAAATGAAAAAGAATAAATTAAAAAAGTTTTTCGTGATTAGCGCCATCAATTACCCTAGAAAAACTACATTTGGGAAAATTTTAGGTATCCCTCCCCCCCAACTGCCTTAGTACCGATTAACTTTGTTGATTTAGAGAAATTTGAATCAAACCCCTTCTCCAGAAATGTCTCAAGATAACATCCAATACCAGCCGTCAAGCGACAACACTCGGAGGTGGTTTTTGTATTATTTTCTCTTTAGCTGCCTCTTTTTAGACATTTCGATGCTCAAGCCTCCTCGACAAATCCTGTGCCCAATCCTGCTTCAATAGCGCCAATTGTTCAACAGTTACTTGTTTTAGTTTTACAATTCAGCCTTTTATTTTTTAGATTAGCTGATCAAATGACCGTTGCTTTTGGCGAAATCTCTGATGCTTTTGAGCATCTTTCAAATTTGAAGGTGATGATCACAGTAGATGCACTTATGCGATTTTATTGCCCCAGAAAGACATTTGTTACATTGAGAAAGCTTCAAAGTCTACCTATATTTAGCAATTCCTCCACAAACTGTCTCGCTTCCAACTCGCTATTTTTCAAACTCCACCTCTAGACCAGACCCATCGATGTCAAATAAAGAAAATGGTGCTAAATGTAAATGTAAGTGGTTAAATTATGATTAGTATTTAATTTTGGCTTAAATAGAGCTCTACTAAATAAATAAAACTAAATAAAATAGTTCAAAAAGATTCACAAAATTAACCCCAAGATCTAAACTAACATTTATGAAGATGATTTTTAGCATATATTCTTGAAACTTTTGCAGTACTTCTGAAACACGTTAGTTTTACAAGTTATCCACCTTTTAGAAAAACGCTATTCGCGAGGAACATAATGTAAATATGAATACCAGAAAATTACCAATAAATCATGAATTTCAGATGGGTCTCTGCCGGTGTGAGTGGCGTGAAGAAGAGGTTGAAGTCATTTTTTGGCGGCTCTCCAAAATAAAAATCGAGAACATTGTCGAACTATTTCATTTTGTCAATAAACTATCTACTATGCTTTGTTTCATTTTCCATTTGGTTATCTCATCCAAAAGATTATCTGGGTTGAATTTTAAATACTGTTTACTTGTCAAATTATCGTTTTAAGCAAAAACAAACGGCTTTACGGATCGATGACTCACTTGCCAAACAGCGCTTTCCTCTCGTCGGATTCGTCGGATGCCGAGAACCGGGATTTCGAGCAAGTGAGTGGAAATTTATTTACCTAAGCATTAAAACATGGAGAAATTGAGGATTACTGTACTTTTGAATACTACCATAACGCTGTTTCAATTAGTGACTCTTAAATCTTTGAAAACTTACTTGATCTTAATCAGAAATAATTCCTAGTTCTCTCAAATTGTATGTAAATGTATCTTTTTGCAATGGTTTACAGAACGGGTTGATTTATTCATAATCGTCATCTGCATCTCAATTTTCAGATCGCAAATCCTCGTCCAGTGCCCGTGTTGACCGCTCTCTCGCCACCGATGCATCAACAAATGTCCAACTCTTCATCGGCGATTCCTCAACAATTTGACGCTACACCGCAAGGTATACAAAGAATAAAAACAATAAATTTTGTACTGTACTATGCATTGAAAAAATTTCTTTGCAAATTGATCCATTACGAGTTTTTAGCAAACGATTCTGGCCGTCAAACGATGTCCTGCCAATGGTTTCCTGCCGGGATTCCAACTGCACCAGCTCCAAATTTGCCGGTACTTACGCAACTTTATTATTCTTCAAGGAAATTTAAGCAAGATCATTTTTATTTATATTCTGCGTAAAGTTTAAGTGTTTATTTAAATCTAGAATTTCAAGCAATTCCCAATGGACTTCCCCCAAGCAGGATTTCCTCCAACAGAAACTCCTCAAATGCCACCTCAAGCTCAACAGATGCTCAACGGAAATATGATGGGCTTTATGCAGGATCCAAATTTTATGCAGCAAATGGTAGTTACAAGTTTGATTTGCTTCAAAACATTTTCTTCTAGATGCTCCTCATGCAACAAATGCAGCTGCAACCGCAACAACCGATGCAACAAAATGGGACATTCAATCCAAATCCAGCTTTCCCGGGTTATGGAATGCAACCAATGCCGGGTAAGAACTTTGCAGCTTTGAAAGTTTTAATGTAATGAATTTGAAGGGACGCTTAAACCTCTAAAAGGTGCATTTGAATAAGCTATACCCCCAAATTTAGTCACCAGGCTGGAGACAAGAAGCTGGAGTCAAGTTGTGCAAACAAAACCGGAAAAGAATATTTCCGAAATTTGTTCAAATCAGCCTAGATACACTGCTCCATCTCAAGAAATTTCATCTCAAGAGACGCAAGTACCCGAAGTCAAAAACGAGAAAAACGAGTGACTACAGAAGGGAAGTGTCGAAGTGCGAGAATTCGGCTCAACGACGAAAAAGTCGATCAATATTTTGGTGCTCGGACAGACAGGAGTCGGGAAATCAACATGGATAAACGCTCTTGTCAACTATTTAACTTACAAAACACTAGATGAAGCGATTGCTGCCGGGGCACCGATTTGCATGATTCCAACTAAATTCACAATGTATGACAACAATTATCAGAGACACGATGTCCATCTTGGAGCACACGACAATGAGGTTTTTGCGGACAATGGTCAAACAGCCACTCAAAGCGCTAAGACGTATCTCTGTGAGCAAGATGAACACAATATTTATATCATTGACACTCCAGGAATGAATAATACCAGAGGACACTTGAAAGATGAGGAAAACATTCAGAATATTCTTCGATCAATCGCACCTTTCAAAGAGATCCATGCGATTTGCTTCCTTTTCAAAGCGAATGAGGCTCGTCTCACGCAATCTTTCCGCTACTCGATCGGGAAATTGCTTGGGAATTTGAGCAAAACGGCGCTCAACAACGCTTGCTTCGTTTTCACAAATGCTAGAGGAACTTTTTATCGACCGGGTGATAAAATGGGACCGTTGAAGGCTTATTTCAATGAGCTGAAGGAGAAAGAAGGACTTTCAGTGAGAATTGATGACGGCAACATCTTCTGTTTGGACAATGAAGCTTTCCGATTCGTTTGTGCTCATTTCTGTGACATTCAATTCGATATAAGGGAAGTAAAAACGTTTGGTGATAGCTGGAAACATTCGTCCGACGAAGTACAGAGATTGTTGGATCACGCTGCACGAGCTCGTCCTCACCACACCTCGGACACGCTGTCAATCAATGACACTCGGACTTGGATCTATCAGTTAATCGATCCAATTCTCAAAGCTTGTACAATGATTCAGAGAAACTTGCAGCAACTGGATTGGCAGAAGAAAGAGCTGATGCAAGCTGAGAACAATGTTGAAGAATTGCGGAGATTGGCGACGATTCGAGTGACTTCAATAGAAATCTTACATCTATCGAAGCCCCAAACCGTTTGTCGGAGTCCAAAATGTGCAAGATATGAAAGGATTGATGGAAAAGAAACGTTGATCTACAGGGTTTGTCACAAAGATTGCCAACTAGGCGATAATGGAAAACTAGACGGATGTGCAGTCTTTGGTCGTAACCAGCTCTGCACTGAATGCTCCTGTCACATAAATGATCACGAGCGAATCTCGTACGAACAACGAATGACCACAAAATCTCTGGAAAACCCGCAAAAACTCGCCTCAGACGCGAATGCTGCCGAGATGAAGAAAACCTCGATTCGAAAAATTGAGCGACTCATCAATGGATATCAAAAAGAATCCAACTACATTTTATTCGCAATGACAACTTTTTCAGCGTTCCTTGCTGAGAATGGGATCACTCAGCAAACGAATCTTTTTGAACAACACTTACAGAAACTGATTGTTGCCGAAGAAAAGAAAATGAAAAGCGTAGCCGGGGTGGATGCGGAGGAATTCAATCGATTGCTCGAACTCAGTGTGACTTATGGAGATATTTGCAAACAATTTGTTCATCAACGAGACTCGGAAAAGATCTCACTTGATGAGCTGCAAGAAATTCGACAAAAGTTGTTCTCTTTACCGCTGAATGGCGCAATGATTGCACATATTTTCGATATTCATGTGAAAACCGATCATCAGGATTATGAGGCTACTGTGACACGCTGCGAGAAATTGATGTTTCAGTGAGTTTAGCAAAAAATAGATAGAAAAATAGAGACATAGATAAAATAAGTCCCAGTCTTTTGCTCATTGCATTATATTAAAATAATTTCAGCATAGCCATTTGCACAAATCCAGCTCTTGCAGCTGATTTTTGAAGTAACCAACTATCTAGCATTCAGATAACCCTAGAGTCGTCGAAAAGGTAGCTTTCCGAATTAGCCAACTTTTAGAAAACGCACCACTCATTGAAGCCTATCAACTAGCTTAAAATAGTAGAACTTAAATTCTTAATAGCCTAAAATAGTAGAGCTTAAGTTTTATTTATTTAGCAGAGCTTAAATAGAGCTCTACTAAATAAATAAAACTAAATAAAATAGAGCTTAAAGTAATTGAAAAAGATACACAAAATGAACTCCAAGATCTCAACTAAAATTTATGAGGATAATTTTTAGCATGTATTCTTGAAACTTTTACAGTACTTCAGAAAATAACGATAAATCATAAATTTTAGAAAAATTTGTGGTGGTGTGAAGAAAGTGTTCTCGTTTCTTGGTCCACCAAGAAAGAATAATTTTAGTAAAACAGTAATAACACAGTAATTTTTAGCATGTATTCTTGAAACTTTTACAGTACTTCTGAAACACGTTAGTTTTACAAGTTATCCACCTTTTAGAAAAACGCTATTCGCGAGGAACATAATGTAAATATGAATACCAGAAAATTACCAATAAATCATGAATTTCAGATGGGTCTCTGCCGATCTCAACTAAAATTTATGAGGATAATTTTTAGCATGTATTCTTGAAACTTTTACAGTACTTCAGAAAATAACGATAAATCATAAATTTTAGAAAAATGTGCGGTCGTGTGAAGAAAGTGTTCTCGTTTTTTGGTGGCTCCACGAAATAATCCAAGAAAATTATCGAAATTTTTCATTTTTTTCAATAAACTATCTATTATGCTTTGTTTCATTTTCCATTTGGTTATCTCATCCAAAAGATTATCTTGATTGAATTTTAAATACTGTTTACTTGCCAACTTATTGTTTTAAGCAAGACAAACTGCTTTACGGATCGATGCCTCAGTTGCAAAGCAGCGCTTTCCTCTCATCGGATGCCGAGAACGACGATTTCGAGCAAGTGAGTGGAAATTTATTTACCTAAGCCTTAGAGAAATCGAGGATTACTGTACTTTTTAATACTAGGGTAACGCTATTTCAATTAGTGACTCTTAAATCTTTGAAAAATCACTTGATCTTAATCAGAAATAATTCCTAGTTCTCTCAAATTGTATGTAAATGTATCTTTTTGCACTGGTTTACAGTAGATTTTTAACTTCTTTGGGGTCACCTCACAGAGAACGGGTTGATTTATTCATACTCTTCATCTGCATATCAATTTCAGATCGCAAATCCTCGTCCAGTGCCCGTGTTGACCGCTCTCCCGCCACCGATGCATCAACAAATGTCCAACTCTTCATCAACGATTCCTCAACAATTTGACGCTACACCGCAAGGTATGCAAAGAATAAAAACAATAAATTTTGTACTGTGCTATGCATTGAAAAATTTTCTTTGCAAATTGATCCATTACGAGTTTTTAGCAAACGATTCTGGCCGTCAAACGATGTCCTGCCAATTGTTTCCTTCCGGGATTCGAACTGCACCTACTTCAAATTTGCCGGTACTTACACAACTTTATTCTTCAAAGAAATTATAAATTGTGATAATTTCAGCAATTCCAACCAGCTCCACATTCAAACAATGTCGGGCCTCCGAGTTTTGCTGACAATGGGATGCCATCGGTATAAAGAAAAGTGTTTTTGGATTTTAAGCAAGATCATTTTTATTTATATTCTGCGTAAAGTTTAAGTTTTTATGTAAATGTTAATTTCAAGCAATTCCCAATGGTCTCCCCGCAACCGGGCTTTCCTCCAACAGAAACACCTCCAATGCCACCTCAAGTTCAACAGATGCCCAACGGAAATATGATGGGATTCATGCAGGATCCAAATTTTATGCAACAAATGGTAGCTACAAGTTTGATTGGTTCAAAACATTTTCCTCTAGATGCTCTTCATGCAACAAATGCAGCTGCAAGCGCAACAACCGATGCAACCAAATGGGGCATTCAATCCAAATCCAGCTTTCCGGGCTATGGAATGCAACCAATGCAAGGTAAGAACTTTGCAACTTTGAGTTTTGATGTAATGAATTTGAAGGGACGCTTAAACTTCTAAAATGCGCATTTGGATAAGCTGTACCCCCAAATTTAGTCAGCACGCATTTAGATACAGTCATGCTGATTTAATTTAAAATACATACATACTTAGTTTGTTTCCTAAGCGTACCTTTTAGAAAATGCTTCAATTTTGATGAATCTAAACATTTAAGAACTTAACTTTAAGGCATTCAACAGCTACCCCAGCCTCCACCCGCTTACTCAGCATCACAAACTCCTGTTCCACAGAAATCCAAGCCAGAACCACAAAATGGTAAATAAAACATAACTGTTTTTCAATTAAAATGAATTCCAGGCAAGCCAAGCTCTTCGAAAAATTTGCTAGTTTTGCCGGACTTGCCCACTTCTCATCAATCGAAGAACAACCAATACTCTGGCCCTCGAAAAGAGATCAACATTCTTGTACTCGGTGAAACGGGAGTCGGAAAATCGACGTGGATCAATGGCATTGCAAACTATATGAGCTTTGATCACATCGCCGATGCATTGGAAGCACCAGAGCCGATTTGTGTCATTCCATCAATGTTCACGATGTGTGACGAGAACTATCAACAACGACAAATCGTCATCGGAAACTCGACGAATGAAGTATTTGGACAAGGACAAAGTGCAACACAAGACGCTCGAACTTATCTCTTCCCACACCCGAAATATGATGTTTATATCATCGATACCCCTGGCATTGGAGATGTTCGTGGAATTGAACAAGACAAGGAGAATACAAGGAAAATTCTGAATGCAATTGCAGCTTACAAGAATTTACATGCAATTTGTCTATTATTCAAATCGAATGATGCTCGGATGACGTTGAGCTTTAGATATTGCATTGGAGAGTTGCTACTTCAGTTGCACAAAGATGCCGCCAAGAATATCGTGTTTTTCTTCACGAATGTGGGACTTTCTACAAACCAGGGGATACAATTGTTCCTTTAAGAGCTTTTCTCGATGAACTTCAAGCGAAACACGGGATTCAAGTGGCTCTCGATCGGAGCAATATCTTTTGCCTGGACAATGAAGCTTTCAAATTCGTTTGTGCCTATCACGATGGAGTTGAGTTTAGCGAAGATGACATGAAAAATTTCGAAGCAAGTTGGGCAAAATCGGCCGATGAGACGCATCGCTTCCTTGACTATGCGGCTGGATGCAAGCCGCATTCTGTTGACAAGACTCTCTCAGTGAATCAAGCTCGTGGAATCATTCTCCAACTCGCTAAACCCTTGGCTGACATCAATGAATTGATTGAGACAAATATCAAAGTGTATGATGATCGAAAAGTCGAGATTGAAAACACGAAAGCGACGATCAATGATTTGCAACAGAAGTTGTTGATCCCACAAATCGGGATCAAAACCGAGGAACTCAGCTATCCGATGACCGTCTGCACTGGCCCGAAATGCATCGAAACGCAGTCGATTCCGAACAGTGAACAATTGCAAACGATCTACAAACAGATTTGGCATGATCACTGTCAATTGGACAACGTTGATCCCGAGAGATTCCCTGAGCCTCATCTACAACAATGTTGGGCAATGCAGGGTGGGCAAAGCTGTACAGTTTGTGGTTGTTTATGGTCGACTCACATGCACATTCGCTTCAAGCAAGTGAAAACGAACGAATCAGTTGAAGATGTGAACATAAAGAATGCAATTCAAACGAATGAAGACGCTCGAATCACAAAGCAGAAAATTATCGAATCATGTGAGAAAATCGTGAAAGAATACAAACATGAACAGAAAACTGTGATGGATTCAAGTATTCGTTTCGCGGTTTTCTTGAACCAGAATGCGATTATGACCTATAATGATGTTTTTGAGAAATATGTGGAAAAGTCGATTGAGGAAGAGGAAAAATGTATCAAAGCGGGCGGAGATCGAACGAAACTGGCCAATCTGAAGCGCTCTTTGGATGAGTATCGACAGGGTATGTGATTTTGGAGTCCAGTAAGAATCTAGAATTTTTAGGCAGGATTAAGGATAGGTCATTGTAGCTACACTTTGCGCTTTGAAATTACAGTATTTTCAATTTCAAACGCTCTAGAAAACCTAGAAAGTTTAGAGGAACTCATTCAAATGAAAAATAGCTGATAGTATCTAAAACCTAGTGGTATTTCTTTAATCAATCAACCACTTTGCAGAACGAGCGGCTATTGAGCACGCCTTGCAATCCGGCGGAAACCATCAGCAACAGATCACCACTGATGATGTCAAGAATATGAAAGCCATCCTCTTTGCATTGCCTCATTTTGGAGCAAAACTCAAAGAACTCTTTGAGCAAACTGTTCGCGGATATTCGATGAATCAACAACAAAGCGTGCAGAAGTTTGCCCCACCAACGTACACTGCAGCCTCTTCTTCTGGTGGTGGAAAGAAGTGGGTTAAATTGAATATTTAGTTAAAGACAAAGATATTGTTGTTACTCAGTGTCGGTCTAATACTTTTTACCGGGTACTAAGCTTTGGGTCTTACAAAATACTTGGCAAGATTAAACACACTTGAAAATTTTCAGACGTGGTCTTCTCGACAAGCTTCGCCGCATCTTCCCCAAATAAGAGAACAAAAAAGAGCAACTTTTGAAGAGAAACAGACAACAGAAATTCCAATCACCTATCTTTTATTTAATTTTAATATCTTTCATCTGCATCAAATTTGGCTTAAAGTTTTTTTTTCATTTTTCCTACCAACTTTTCCATCTTTTTTAAAGTTGACAACACAGTTTCTTCGTATTTTTGTAATTTTTCAGATAATTGTAAAATAAACTTTTAAAATCACTTTGCAACAGGATTTGGTGCAAATGGCAAATGCAAAATGATGCTAATGCTTACAAGGCTCGAGTGATTCAGGACTGGCGCAAGCAGTATTTTCCCGATTTGGCCACTTTTAGTGGCCATCCTGAGAACCCGATCTTAATTCAATGAATTTCAGTGTTTCGAATGTTCTTGAAACAACATCATGCTCAAAAACGCATCCCAGCATTGATTCGCTTCAGAAGTCCCTTCAAAAAGCATGTGACAAACTCGATGCCGCTTTCCATTTGGTCACGGTCGATGCATTTGCCAAATGTCACAAGGTCCATAAATATCTTTTTAAATAGAATTTTTTTTTTCTTGTTTAATATTACTTTAAAAATCAATTGTTAAAGTTTTTGAGTTAATTTCTCTTTTATCGGTTTCTATCTTTGAAAAATATTGGTTGCAATAGTCTTGCCGCGCCCCGTAGAATGAAAACACCTTTAACTTAAAAAAAGGCTAATTTTTGTTTATTAACGTTTTTGTTTGCAGTAGAATGCCTAAATCTTTAATTTTTAACGTCTCTTTCTCTAGCCACTAATCATTGATAGATGCAATAAGGTGCTGGAGTAGGTATGTACAGGGTGTCCGAAAAAAAAGCAAGTTTGCCTCAAATCTCCTCAAAATCTTTAGTGGCACTTGGTGGTCACTCTGGTGCCAAAAGTGTTTTTTTTTCTCTGAGGAAAAGAAATGTTGTGATACGTTTGTTTATTCTAAAGGCGCTTTTTATTTTGCAGCCAATAAACAACCGATACCGAAAGCAAAATCTTAAAAATTGGGCACAAAAAGTGAAGAACTTGACGATTTGTCATTTGTTTAGATGGCCAACATGCAGTCGTGGAAATATGTATTTTCGCCTTGGTTTCGGAGTTGATTTTAGCAAAAATTAGAATGAATCCTTCATTTCCAAGAAACGTTCCCCCCACTCACCCCAATTCTGATTTTACAAACGTTCAGAGATTCTCAATAAATTCAAATCAGTTGAAAATGGGGGTGCTTTGATCAAAGCAACACCATTTATCGCAAACCATCCTGGAAATTCTATTCGACTTCCATTCGAAAGCCTTCCTACCTGCCCCATCATAATCTTACTCGTGTTTACCAGAGAGTTGTCCTAGTAGTACGACCATCCATCAAGCAATGTCTTGTTAGCAAATGGAAGTAGATGTTGCTCCAGTATTGATATGTATTGCTGGGAGTCTATCGTTGCATTTACCATCACAAGTGGACCGACCATACTTCTTGTCATTGCTCCTAAAAACTAACAAAAAGTATACCCACCCCAACACATAATATTGGGTTGGAAAATAATGTGAATTTTTAACTTGTGCTCTTGGGAAAATAATGGCAGACAAACAGAGAAAACCACGATAGTAACAGAGAAGCAGAGTGTGCTTGCTTACACAATCATAATATTATTCAAAAACATTTGTTCATTTGTTATCAAATAATGAAGGAACGCAAATTCCTTACTCCATGACTTTAAGCTTGGAAAATCTGAAAGATAAAAGCATAATTCTATTTCAAAAGCCTATGGCGAAGGTAGTATTAGCGAAAGCCAATCTTATTGAAGTTTGAGCGATTTCAGAGAGTGGGAAAGAGCAGGCCTAGAAGATATGAGCCTCACGAAGAGGACGTAAAACTGTCTGAAGCTAGGCTTTTACAGTGAGCAGTTAGAGAGTGTGAATCAAGCTTTATCGAAATCTCGACATGACACTTAAAAAATTCGGTTTTTGTATGATAATGCAAAACCGCATACGGCAAAGATGATCCTCCAGCAAATCGAAGAGATGGGCTGGAAACCTCTACCTCACGCCCTATCAAGCCCTGACTTGGCCCCATCAGACTACGGCTTATTCAGGTCTCTAAAGCAGTTTCATCTCCCGATCAGCTGTTCAAAGATTAAAAGAGAGTCAAAAATACGGTCACTAACTATTTCCCCGCAGAAAGTCCCAGGTTCTAACCTTTGAAGATACAGAATTATTGAATTGAGCAATTGAGCATGACGTCCTAAGTAATAAAGGAGAATACCTTTTATATTAATCCTCTTTATTTTAAGTGTTTTGAAATAAAGAATCGGGTCCAAAAAAATCGCATTATTTTGCCGCCAACCTGATACTTCCGCCGCCAAATCGAACCATGGGCTTGGCGTACTTGAGTAAAAGACGCGTTCCAATAGGTCGTCTGATCAATGGAGATTCATCTGATTAATAGAGATTCACCTTTGTTTCATCAGAAAATATCGCTTCACTCCAATCATCGCTCGTCCAACTTCAGCACTTTCGAGCGAAGGCCGTCAGAAGTTTCCTGGTCGAAGCAATCATCTGTAAGTTTTTTAAATTGGGCATCTCGTGTCCAATTTTGCTTCAATGAGTCGATTACGTACCGTCCTTATATTAAATGCTTTTGTTAAAGGTGGACTTGTATAACCGTTGTCCATCGGTTGAGGTTAAAGGATGAATTCTGTTTGAGAAAATTTAAAAAATAAAAATGATCTTGCTTCAAATCCTAGAACACTTCTCTTAATACCGATGGCCTGCCGTTGTCAACAAAATTCCCAGGCCCGGTATTGTTAGAATCAATGGAGCTGGTTGGAATTGCTGAAATTATCACATTTTTATAATTTCCTTGCAGAATATTAAAGTTATGTAAGTACCGGAAAATTTGGCAAGCTAAACTGAGTATTTAAAATTCAATCTTTTGGAGGAGATAACCAAATGGAACATGAAACCAAGCATAGTAGATAGTTTATTGACAAAATGGGAAATAGTTGTTCAATGTTCTTGATTTTTATTTTGGAGAGCCATCAAAAAATGACTTCATCCTCTTCTTCAAGCCACTCACACCGGCAGAGACCCATCTGAAATTCATCAGCGGTTATTGACAATTTTCTGGTATTCATATTTTACGATATATTTCTCTTGAATAGTGTATTTTCTAAAAGGTGGATAACTTGTAAAGCTACCGTGTCTTTTTTAGATTTGGTCAGAATTAGCCAAAGTTTGATCATATTTGATGAGGAACCAAATCATTGAAGCCCACGGGATCAAAATTCAAAGGGTTAACTAAACACTTATTCATCGATAAAAAAATATAATTGTCAGAAACACACCCTGAAAATCGTGGTTGCAAAAACTCTTTTCACATTTGCAAAAATTTTTATTATTTTTCGTTCGCTTCCGTATTTACTGGTACTATTTTATTTTTTTTAGGTGCCAGGAGCGTACTCTTCAACTCCGGATAAAGAAAGGACCGTCGAGGCAAGGGAAGAGAGAATCCCACGACAAGACGTTGCGCGTCTCTCTTAGGATGTACGCCCACAACAGTTCCTCTTGTTATGGCAAAAATGAATGCGTCTGGAAATGTGCACTGAATTGCGGGAAAAAGGAACGGCCGTGGATTACGCCAAAGAATGAAGACCGATTTCTTACGGGAGCTTTCAAGAAGGGTCCGAATTTAACGTAGAAACATGGAACCATTCTTTTCAAGCAAACTTCAAACAAGAATATTTCCCCTTGGGCCTTACCATCATGCCTGCTTCAAGCAGCATTGTATACTAGAGACCTGCTTTCAAGCCTAGGTGCTTTAGTTTCTTTAGCTGCGATGTGTAAAAGTTCAACAGGTCCCCTTCTCCTCGTAAATCAACAATGGATTCCACGCCAATATATTGAAATATTGGGCAGATATCTACTTCCATTTGCAGGTGCTACGATGAATCCAGGATGGTTTTCTTTATCCGAGATAATTTGCCAGTACACAAACGCAAACTTTTGATGAGCCACGTTGTGACTCTCTCGAATGGAGAAAAAGCTTGCATTACAGGACCGATCACGTGTCTTTGATCAAGCTCCACCAAACATTCGATGTCATTATCGAAAATTTAGCGGGCTGTTTGGAAATCGAAATGGTGAGGAAAACTATTCAGTTATAAAGGTCGAGCTATGGTTTTAGATCAAAAAAAATTTGGAGAACGATTGGACCTGGAATTCTTGATGAGTTAATTACATTGATGCCTAATCTGTGTTAAAAAAATTACTTTTGGCAAAAGGAGGGAGCGACTAAATATTGTGGTCTCAAGCTTAATTTACGTTTTTAGTGAAAAAGACTTTTGCACCACGATTTTCAGGGTGTTTTGAAAATTATATCTTTTACTCGATGAATAAGTGTTGTATAGCGATAACGTTTGTGTAAATAAATTGTACATATATTTGTGTAATTAAAACTATTAATAGCTTAAAGATAGCCATGCACTTTATAAAAAAAAATTGATGAAACTTTTTTAGAAAATTGGGCGTGAAAAGACTTGTGCACATGTGAATGTATCGTCATAAATGTTAGTTTAGATCTTGGAGTTCATTTTGTGAATCTTTTTCAATTATTTTAAGCTCTATTTTATTTGATTTATTTGTTTTATTTATTTAGTAGAGCTCTATTTAAGCTCTACTAAATATATAAAACTTAAACTCTACTATTTTAAGCTAGCTGATCAGGTTTCAATAAGGTGATGCGTTTTTCTAAAAGGTGGCTAATTCGGAAAGCTACCTTTTGGAAGACGCATTACTCTAAAATTACTCTGGGGTTCCCGGCTAAATAGTTAGTTACTTCAAAAATCAGCTGCAAGAGCTGGATTTGTGCAAAAGACTGGGACTTATTGTATCTATGTCTCTATTTTTCTTCTATTTATCTATCTATTTTTTGCAAAACTCACTGCCAATCCAGTTGCTGCAAGTTTCTCTGAATCATTGTACAAGCTTTGAGAATTGGATCCGATTAACTGATGGGTCCAAGTCCGAGGTCTCGATGATTGACAGCGTGTCGCCGGTGTTGTGCGGGCGAGCTCGTACAGCGTGATCCAACAATCTCTGCACTTCGTTCGACGAATGTTTCCAGCCCTCGGCAAACGTTTTCATTTCCCTTGTATCGAATTAGAATGTCACTGAAATGAGCACCAATAAATCAGGAAAGCTTCATTGTCCAAACAGAAGATATTTGCTGTCATCCCAATTCTCACTGAAAGTCAGCTGCGCACTCCTTCCAGTTCATTGAAATAAATATTCAACGGTCCCCCCGATATCACCCGGTCGATAAAAAGTCCCTCTAGCATTTTGTGAAAACGAAGCAAAGCATTGTTGAGCACCGTTTTACTGAAATTTCCAAGCCATTTTCTCGATCCAGTGGCGGAAAGATTCCGTGAGACGAGCCTCATTTATTTTGAACCAGAAACGAAAAGCATGGATCTCTTTGAAAGGTGCGATTGATCGAAGAATATTCCTGAATGTTTTCCTCATCTTTCAAATTGTCCTCTGAGTATCATTCATTCCCGGAGTGTCAATGATATAAATATTGTGTTCATCTTGTTCCTTACATACAAATCTTGGCGCTCCGAGTGGCTGATTGACCATTGTCCGCAAAAACCTCATTGTCGTGTGCTCCTCCAAGATGGACATCGTGTCTCTGATGATTGTTGTCATACATTGTGAATTTAGTTGGAATCACGCAAATCAGCGCCCATATAACCGTAATCGCTTCATCTACAGCGTTTTGTAAGTTAAATAGTGATTTGACAAGAGCGTTTATCCGTATTTTGATTTCCCGACTCCTGTCTGTCCGAGCACCGAAATATTGATCGACTTTTTCGTTGTTGACCCTTTCGAGAAATCATCCTGAAAATTTCGTTTAGTATTTGAAAATGGTATTTAATCCTTTAATAGAGCGGTGTTAACATCTGAAAATTATCATGATTTTGTCTTTAAGATTGTAGTTTTTAAAGAATGACACGTTTTAGTAAAAACATTTACATTTTTAAGTTCTAATGAAATAAATACACTCACTTGTTTGTCTTCTCTCCACAAATTCTTACTTAAAGTGTTCAGGAAGAGTTTTGCTTGTTCAGGTGATAGATCTTGTCGAGCAGGCATTTGATATTGTGGGCGTTCAGTTGGGCTTCACGAATCAAATTCGCATCTTGGTGTCCGTTAGGCGAATCGACAGCGTTTCGTTGCTCAGCCAAAGTCCAGGCTTCAAGCTCCATGTCATCCGTTCTCATCGACACCGGTGAAGCGTGAGGAAATTGAGAAGTCATATCATCTGAAAAAAATCACTTATTGTTATTTGAAATCTACTCTCGCTTGTTTTCAGAAATTCGTCCCAGTGTGCCAAATGGAAAACGTTTATGAACAATTTCCTTGGTTTAGTTGCCCACCTTGTGCGTCATTAGAGGAAGGAAGTCTAGCGACCATTCCACAAAAAATGAACTAAAACTTTAATCAACTAAATTTCTAGACTAAACATGAGAATAGAAAGTTTTCGATAGCAAATGGACCAAACCGTTTTTTGAAAGCAGCCAAAAGAGTTAATCAGATAAATTTATTGATAAAAAACAAAGGTTTGTGAAAAAAAGAAATGATTGCTAGTTAAAGAGCATCAATGAACAAAAACGACAACTTCATGAAAATGGTTCTATTTTCCCTATTATTCTCGTTCTTCTTGTACTTGTTTTCATTGTTTTGTTGTTTATTCTTTCCCCCGTCCGCAACTCAGAAGGCGCCGGGCTGGCAAGTCAAACCCAAAGGTTTGCCCCAGGTTTACTTTACCGTAACAAACATTTCAGTATGTTCTTTCCGAGCAATGCTTTTCTTAAGGACGCTTTTTGTCGAAAACTATCATAATTAAATTGTCCATAATTAAATTGTCAATTTGCATTTAATCAGCTCGATTTTACTACAGGTTTAGATCAAGACTCTACTTGAGCTCAAATCCAAGTTCCATAGGAGTTATTTCTGATTTTAAGCCTCACCTGGCATGAAAGCGCCACCATTGTGTGCAAATCCGAAAGAGTTGTTGAGAAGATTTTTTGTTGATGATTTGGATTCATATCATTGGATTGCACTCCCGAAGGTTTTGCGTCTTGTTTATGACCTAAATTCTTTGGTCATGCGGAAGGTATTCATAGTTCACAAAACACATCCACATTTTCAGTAATAAAGAAGTGAAGGGGTGGCAAGAAAAAGTAGATTTCCGGAGAGGGGATTGAACCCTCGAAGTCAAGAAACGCACGGTATGTCAGATAGAGACCTATCAAAAAACCCACGGTCTTTAGAGTTTGAGGAGTTTCAACTCTCTGTAAATGATTCCCATTTGATTGTTTTGGAGCCATGGAATGCTGGATGGAGGCTGGGGAATGGAGAGAGATATCTAAAAGTTTTCCACTTAAGTACAGCTTTATGTTTTTTAGAAAGGTTTCGTGTTTTCATTCATGAGGCTATTCCAAAAACTGACCGATGGAAGACTGTAGCATTTTCCCGCAAAAGTTCCCAACATTGCTACTTGTTTCGGAAAGTTGCGGCGAAATGGGGCGCGGAGGTTCCGATCGAGCGACATAGTTGCCCGAAAAAAAATCCCATGATGACTTTAACAATATGCTTTAACTTTAATAACAACAACAATAAAAGTATCTAAGGTCTAAAATGTATGTACTTTTTCTCGCACACACTCCGCAATGCTTTATATGCACTTTGTGTTCACTAGACGCGCCTAAGAGCATTTCTGGTGCACCGATATCCACATTATTTTTCTTCCTATAGTGGCGTTGATGTAAGGGCTGGGTGTGCCCGGAGAAGTGCGTGTAAGTGCTCGAGAGCAAAATACAATAACTTAAGTGTCTTTGTCCCGATAATCGTACAAAACTCACAAAACAACCACCAACTTATGGTTTCATATATGGAAAGGAAAATATCAGATGGAATGAGATTACGCGCGCGCACAAAGAACCCTAGTCAATCACCGAAAAGAACACATCACTTCTAGAAAAAAACAAAAGCAAAATCAAAGGTGGGGACCGAGGTGGCGAGGTCTCGCTCTGCCAGAAAACGAGCGCTATGCCACGGCTACACCGAGCTCCGCCCGCAAAGAAACCGCTAAGACCCAAATGACCACACTTTCAAAGTCCTAACAAAATTCCAGACAATGATCAACACTTTCAGAGTCCTAACAAAAAAAAATCACTCGTGACAGAATGTCATTTTGCTTAAAAACGGAATTCATATTCGAAATCAGCATAAAATTCACCGTCGAATGGTATAGGGCGCAAAGCATTTACCGTTCCCTTATCAGTATCCAAACTTTCCTTTCCTAAAACTAACAGTTCAAAAGGATTTGTCATGCTCCCATGCAAGCTCCCAGCGTGGCTGTTTTGTCCAAGCTGAGGCAGATCAGATGGCGGTGGATGTTGAGGTCGTAATTCTTTCTTGTCTGGGGTTAAAGCTTTTGATTTTTTGGATAAACATGTTTATCCAAAACAGAATGCAAACGTTTAAACGTTAGTGGGTCGTTTTCCATTTCATACTTATAAATTAAAATCTGACAAGATCATTTTACCTGTGCGCAGCAGACTTTTGATCCAGAGCCTTCCGAGAAGTACCACCGTGATACCCATCCACTCCCGTCGGCTAAAAGTTTCAAATCGCTCTGTAAAACCTCTTACAAATAAACACACAAGCGCCCGACATTATGACTGATCTTGAAAAAGAAATCAAAACTAAGTTAAGGGTATTCTTGAGCTCACCCGTGCTCAGTTGTTTTGACGTTGCGTTTGTTGTTCCGGAAGTGGTTCGAATCGTTGTGCCTGAATCGATTTTGTAAAAATTTGTCTCAAAGTTTTAACTAGAGTGTGTTCATCTCAAGTCCACTTTTACAAAGTATCTTTTCTCTATTTTATCCAATCAGAAACCCTCCCGAATCATCTCAAGTGGAGCCCCCAATCTGGCATAAAACTAGAGGCAAGCAAGTAAAAACTACAGCAGACTGTATTTATCGAAACTCTTATTGCAAAGGATGCACGTTTTTCAACCTAATTATAAGCTCAACCCACCGGTGATTTGTAAGCATAATAAAGCGCTAGATGTTTCAGTTGACGCATCTTTGGGAGTCGCGGCGCACGTTCGACAACGATTCGTTGTACATTTTCATCGGCCAAAGCATCACAATTACAATTAATTAATATTTCTTATTGAAAGAGCACTTACATGCGCTTTCCAGAAACGGCCTCGTGATCGAAGCAATTGCGATTCCACTCAGTTTGCCAGGAGAACACCTTCTCATTGTAGCTGACTGAAATCAAAAGAGTAAATTGGTGAATGAATTTAAGCTGTAATCTTTTGTTAAATCTCAGTTCAATAGTTGATTTTAAAACTCACAGAACTTTCCGCAACGAGTGCATTTCAAGAGGAGAGAAAGCATAAAAGAAAAGAGACATTTTCGAAACAAATTCGAAGATGAGCGAATCTAAATTGAAAAATAGGTAAAGAGAAATGGTTTTAAAAGTGAAAAGTGAAGAGAAATGGGTGCTCCTTTGAGCGATTTCTCCTTTTTATATCGCTGCCGATTGGTACGGTTTTAGGCATTATTCGACATCTGTTGTCCGGGGGGAAGGAGAAGATGTGATTTATTGCAAACGGCTCGATTAGATCAAAAAAATTGAACGAGATAGTACGAAAGAAAAGAATAATTGAATGGAAAATGGGAAATCCGATAATTTTCGTAATTTTTCGACGATAAATAAATAAAATAATAAAACGTTTGAATCGAGTAAAATCTCGTTATTAACCCATTCGAAACCCCAGCGTTTTCACTTTTTTAGTCGTCTGCGGACCAAGCCCTTTTTGACATTTTGAGTCCGAAGCAGTTTATCTAGATGGTTGGAAGAAGGTTTTAAAGAGTCTCCTACACCATTTATTTTTGATGAAGAACGATTTGGATTTGACTTCAGTACTTTTCAAGATCCTATAGATTATTATTCTTATTTTATCGACGACAAATTAATCAAAATGTTAGTATTGAATCTGGCCTCAAACTTTGGAAAAAGGAGAAACAAAACTGGCAGGTTTTCCAGGGCCAAAAACTTTCCAGTTCTAACAGAGTAACCTGATGTATCTTCAAATGGGATGATCAATCCAGGTACCCAGGTTACCAATGAGCTACATGCTGGATTAAGAGAATTTGGGCAAAAAAGAACATTATATCAAGAACAAGGACTGAGTTTCAACCTCATCTTCAGAAACAGAAGTTTTTGTAGGTGATGAACTTTGGATTCATACCAGGAAATCAAACTTTATAAGTTCAGAAATATATGGAACATTCAAATACCAAAACTCAGAACTTGACTGGAAACCAGATAATGCTGAAACACATCTTTTTTGCCCACTCCAATTTGTAGATCTGTTGCAGGCAAGAACCTTATATATGGGGAGCTGAAAAACAGCTGCAAAAAGAACCAGTTGATTGAATGAAAACAAAACTCAGTTAACCCTGCAGCTTGATCAATTCACTGAGTTTTATACAGCCGCGATTATTACGCTGTAGAAGTTTAGAATAGATTCAGCAGGACTTTTGAACATATTGAGCTGTTTCTTCCACTTTGACAACCAAAGAATATAAAGGATCATTAACAAATATGTTTTGGCTCACAGTTTTGAAAAAAAAGGCTGGGAACACAGTGTATTTTAGGAGCTTTTTGAGGCACCTCACAATAATAAGCTTAATAAGAGAAACTAAACTTTATTTGTGCCCATATTATTTTTAAATCTAGATGAATAAAAACATGAATCACGAAAACCCAAAACCAAATACAAATTATACAAAAATACTATGAGACGGTACCAAATACTTGTCGCTCACACAAACGAATGAATAAGTTGACCACTGCGCTAAATAGAGACACGGAAATCACAAATAAATTTTACAAATAAAGCAGGTAATAGACATTGAATTTTATGGCTTCGCTCTGCCAGAAATATTAAAAGCAAAAATCACACTAACGCCTGAAGCAGCAGGTGGCAGCAAAGCAGCTGATTGTTTCCATCTTCCAAAACCAAAAATCAAATGATACAAAAATACTATGAAACGGTACCAAATACTTGTCGCTTACACAAACGAATGAATAAATTTACCTACACGCTAAATAGAGAGCACCAAAATCACAAATAAAATAAATAATAATTTAGTGTTATGACCGCGCTCTACTACCAATATTAAAAGCAAAAAATCACTTTTCTGCCTGAAGCAGCGGTGGCAGCGAAGCAGCTG